TCTTGCACTCCGACCAGTTTTACTCAGCGTTCGTTTCCACAACCCTTGCTTCTAGGTCTCGACATGAGGGAGGGTCGGGCATAGAGAATGTTTGCCAGGTGGATATACTCATAAACGTGTACCGACTCTTTCCATAGTTAAGGCTAAAAAGCTCGAGGTGCGGAAAAAACTCTGATCACGCTGGTGAGCAAAAACGCCGTAGCCGCTGGGGCGTAGGTTTCTTGCGGTCCGACTAGTTTTACTCAATGTTTATTTCCGTGACCCTCGGTTCTGGGTCTTAACGTGAGAAAGGGCCAGGCATAGAGAATGTCTCCCAGATAAATATGCTCTTATCGGCCCCTGAGTGAGGTCCGACCCCCCGTCGTTGCTAGGGTCGGGTGTCACTAAAGATCGGGGAGTTGATAGCGAAAGTAATAAGAGAAAGTGTGCGTATTATTAAGGGTAAAAGTGACGTAGTTGTCCGATGTTCTAGGCGTTGACGAAGACTTCGCCGTCGATGGTCTTGAGCTTATAGGTGCCTGGTCGGAGCACCTCCACGATGATGTACGGTCCCTCCCACGGCGGAGAGAGCTTGTGGCGGTTGTTGTTGCTCTAGACGAGGTGGAGCACCAGGTCCCTAACGTTGAAGGCCCGACCCTACGCTCGATGGTTGTGATACCGGCGCAATGCTTGTTGGTACTTGGCCGAGTGGAGGAGGGCAACATCGCGTGCTTCATCTACCTAGGCTCCTTCATATGCTCCCTCTTGTTGGAGCCTCCAAATAAGAACCGCTTCAAGAGGACGCAGTCCTTGTATAGGCGCTCGACGGGAAAAGCATGGTTCGGGCATGGCCCTTCGAGCAGCTTTCTCGAAGTTGTCCAGGGTACCCTCGGCGGGCTTCTAACCCCCCTTGCGGTTGGTGGTGGCCACGAGCGAGCCCTCGTGCCGCTGCTTGTTCTTGTTCTTGTTGGGATGGTTGGAGGCGCCTTTGCCAGCGTCCTCGTCCCGTTTCGCCTTGCCTTTGAGGCGGTCGAAAATCGCCCCGACCGCCTCCTCGCCCGAGGCATGGCTGGTGGCGATGTCGAGGAGCACCTTGGTGGTTCACGGACCCTTATGTCCCAGCTTGTGAACCAGGGACTCGTAGGTGGTCTTAGATAGGAAAGCTCCTATGACATCGACGTCGGCGACGTTGGATAGCTCGTTATACTACCGGGTGAAGCACCGGATGTACCCACGAAGAGTTTCCCCGAACTTCTGTTGATAGTTTTTGAGATCCCAGGGGTTCCCAGGACGCTCGTATGTGCCCTGAAAGTTTTCCACGAAGATCTCTTTTAGGTCCACCCAACTTTGGATTCGGTTGAGCGGAAGGTGTTCCAACCACGTTCGCGCCGAATCGGCCAGGAACAATGGAAGGTTGCAGATAATGAAATCGTCATGTTCCGCTCCACTGGCTTGGTAAGTAAGCCGATAATCCTCGAGCCACAGTCCGGGGTTTGTTTCTTGGAGTATTTCAGGATGTTGGTCGGTGGTCGGTACCATAGTGGGAAGACGGCGTTGAGGATGTGTCGGCCAAAGGCCTGAGGTCCCGGTAAGTCAGGGCCCGGGCTTCGGTCATCGCCGCTGTCGTAGCGTCCGCCACGACGAGCATGGTAGCCATGGCTAGCCTCCTCCCTCGCATCTCCACGGGTACGCGCGCGTCACAGTGGAGTCTGAGACATCCATGCACTAGGACCGCGGCACGTGGCCTGTCGCCTTGCTACGCCTGGTAGACTGACACGTCCCTATCGAGCCGCTCAGAGGGCGCGCGCTGGCTGGCATCGAGCTCGCGTCGTCGGGATAGTGAGCTCTTGGCCTGCTACGCCATTGCACGCTCGAGTAGCATGCGAATCTCGTGATGGGCCCGACGATCCTCGGGCATCGTGGGCCCTGTAAGCCTCTAGAGCAAGGCCGCTGTGGCGGCGATGTTCTGGCTTGCTCGGGTGAAGTGTGGGAGGGCTTCATCATCCTCGATGATCCTCTAGTTCACGTTGCGGGCCATGACGCGCACACCCCCGCCGTCTCCGTGGCGCTCGATCTCTTGCTTGAGCTCCGCGTGTTCCTGCTTGAGCTAGAGTCGTGCTTCCTCGAGCTCTTGGTACCGGGTCTTCAACTGCTCCACCCGCAAGCGAGGTGGCCCCCCTGCATCCCCCTCGACCTCATCGTTGAGGTCATTTGTTGGTGTAGCCTCTCCCTCGTGGATGCTTTCAATGTGTCCCTCGGGGGTACCTGCCGTGAAACATTCACGAGAGGGGTGAGGGCTCCCCCTATCGAAGTCAGAGCTGGAGGGCGATTTTGATTCTCCTGGAGGAGGTCGTGGAAAGATTCTACGACATATTTGGTCATCCCCATAAACTCGTCATTCGTGGGGGATGGGGGAGTGTGTTGTGCCACAAGATGGCCAACGCTCTCTGCGGCGTTGCGCAGGCTGGACGGGAGCGTCGTTGGGGCGCTCCGGACAAGGTGTTCTAGGGAGAGCGGCTCTCTTCTGGCAAGCTGCGTCATGACATTGGCGAACAAGGAGATGAGGTGGCGTAGGTCCTCCTAGGACGGTCAGGGTCCCAGGAAGGTGCCGAGCTGGTGCTCTAGCCTCCTATAATCGAAATCGAGGAGCTAGCCGCTCCCGGGGGCGTGGGCTTCTGGTGCGTGCAGTTGCAGCTCCTCAAGCGCCTTGGCGATCACGTCGAGGCCGGCAAAGTGTAGAGGTTGGACGGTGGCGGCGGCCTACGCGAAGCCTCCCTCCGTCGTAACGATGAATTACAGGTTCTCGAAGCTCACGAGTGCGCCCAGGACCCAGCTGATGTTGTGGCTAGCCATCTAAGACCTGGTGTGGACATCGAGACACGCAAAAGGCCCCTACCTGGTGCACCAACTGTCGGTGTTTCGAGTTACCACTGACGAGTAATTTCTAGTATTGCGCGTCTAGCTTGGATGGTGTGCTTAGAGGACATGAAGTTTATACTGGTTCAGGCAGAAAGTCCCTATGTCTAGTTCATCGCTGCTGCTCGTGTTACTAGCACTAAAAGTTTGCAGTAGGGGTTACAAACGGGCGAGAGAGGGAAATGATCCTAAGTCTCTGGTGAAAGGAGTGAGTGGGTGCTGAAAGCTCGATCGCTGCTCAGTTGTGTGTTTGTGTCGTGCTCTTGTGCGGATCTGAATCGGATTTCGATGAGTCGATCGGTTCCTAATGATTCGATCGATTCGGATCGGTTCCCATTCATGGGATGCACTGCTTTCTCATTTATAGGCCAAGGGAAAGCACGGGTTATAGTGGAGAAAAAGAGAAGAACGAGGGAGAGAGAAGAAGGCCTTCAGAATTGCTGGGTCCTTCTCCTTCATGCGGGTCCCGTCGATCCGGTAGATGTCAATAGGGACAACTCCACGTCGCCGCCCTGTCTGTCACTGGTGCCATGCGCAGGTGTCGTCTGCCGGTCATGGCGTTCCATCCCGTCCTGGTGGACGTTGTGGTGAACTGACGTGCCTGTCATCGTTCGTACGAGGGTTAGGCAGAACAGCACCGACACGTCTGATGTTGTTCTTGATGTGAACCCTTAGGTATGGCCCGTCATTGTTACAGGTTACATCGAGGCATGCTAGTCTCTTCCCTGGTGTCAGAGCTTTGACCCAGGGCGATACGCTTGGACCTGGAGTGATTGGCGACGGTATGGGTCCCCGTCGGGCGAGGCGGAGCCGGCACCCAAAGGGTCGGGCGAGGCGGAGCGCACACCCAAGGCTCGGCCGAGGCAGAGCCGATGGCCTTGAGGTCGGGCAAGACGGAGCCTGTGCCTTGGGGTCGGGCGAGGCGGGGCCCGCGGCCTCGAGGGTCGGGCGAGGCGGAGCCCGCGCACCTGGGGGTGGTTGGAGCTGTAGTCGCGCTCTTGACTGCTCGGATGAATTAATGTTGATGACCATTAGCTCCTCCTCTTCGGGTACCCTAGTATGGGTCCCCGACAACATGTGACGTACTTCTAAAACATTTACAAAACACCTTAAAACTCTTGAAAAAATGTGTGTGTAGCCATTGCAAAACATATGCAACATCCAAATAAAACACTTGCAACATACGTATGAAACACTTGAAACATACTCTTGCAACATGCATGCATATGCAACACCCAGATCTACTTTTGCAACATCCAGATGAAACACTTGAAACATACGTCTGAAACACATGAAACATTTAAAAACTTAAGCTTGCAATATGCGTATATTGCCATTGCAACATATGCAACCTCTCATATATACTTTTGCAACATCCAGACCAAACACTTGAAATATAAGTCTGGAACACCTAAAACACGACGTCGTCGACGGCCACAACCTACCTGGTGGGGAACTGCGGTAGCCGACAAGCTCGGGGCACGGGGACGTCGGCCTAGCGTACACCTCTGCTGTAGGACGTCGGCCCGTCGCTCTTCCTACAATGCTCCCATGCCTGCTCGCTGCCCAGGCTCACGCCCGTAGGCATAGCTTCTCTAATGTCGCTGCTGCTCGGCCGTAGTCGTCCAGCACCGTCCGCTCATGGAAGATGGGGCGCGGCGCAGCTCGCGATGGGGTGCGGCACGGTGGGGGGAAGGGCAAGGCGCGGTGGCGGTGGGCGCTCGATGGGGGAAGGGGTGTTGCGGCGGGGCGGAGTGTGGCGGACGTATGCGCGATGACACCGCGACACCGATGCAAGTGTGATTGGGGAATTTTTCGGAGATGGAAGAGGCATAGAGGTGTTGTTGGGCCTGTCCGCTGCGCAGGCCTAGGAAGGTATGCGTCCGGACAGGACAGACGACCGTCTGCAAGCATTTGTGAAAAATTATATCATCTGGTTACTAGTGTCAGCAATGATGATCATAATTTAGTAATTCCGATGACTCCGTACAGCAGCGAGAAATCACATTCATGGATGATAATGGCAATCGATCCAACTATGTGTATTTTGAGCCACTGCTTTGCCGCGTCTATGATGGCAATGACGTGCGACCCAGCTTTGCATGCTAAAGAAATGACTGCAAGCGAAGGCGGGGGCTCGCGCTCCCGAAGGCTTCGGTGGCCATGCCAGTCTCTCCGCCCTCTCCTGCCAGCCAACTAGCTGCGGACTTCGCCGCCATCTTCTCCTCTTCGGCTAGTACCGCAGCCACCGGTCCGTTACCGTCGTCGTACCGTGCTTCAAAGACCACCCGGAGCTTTCCGGCGGCCAGCATCTCCCTCGCCGCGCCACGGCGTAGCTTCCCCGACGTCGTCTTGGGCACCACCCCGCCATCGACCAGCACAACCAAACCAACCCTGACACCTTCTTCTCGCCACACTGCTGCCCTTATTCCGTCGCACAGGCCCCTGTGATCGCCGCCACCGGCGCTTCCCTTCTGTAGCTCTGCGAGGACGGCCACGACGCCGGTCCGCGAAGGTGGCCACGGCGTCGACGACGTCGCGAAAGCTGCGACGCAGCCGCCTCTCAGGCGATCGGGCGCGCTGCCGAAGGCCGCCGTCTCGACGTAGTGCGCGTGCACGCGGCGCCGTTCACCGCCGTCGTCGTCGATCGCGATGAAGTCGGCGCTCCGGCCGACGACGTACAGGTATCGCTCTGCCCCCTTGACCACGCCGCGGTCGCCCGTGCGCACGAAGCACGCGCCGGCCCGCCCCGGCACCCTCGCGCAGAAGACCTCGCGGGTCGCCGACGGGTGGCCGAGGTACCCCGACGCGTTGCTCGGCGAGGACACCCATATCTCCCCCTCCACGCCGTCCTCCACCGGCTCTCCGGTGTCCTCGTCCACGACGGCGATCTCGATCTCTGGCACTTCGTTCGCCGCGGACGGCGGCGGCGACAGCCTCGCCGACGGCAGGAGCTTCATGTAAAACGGGAGGCGAGCAGAGGAGCACTCGCTCGTCCGCCGCGCGGTGGACACGAAGGTGCAGTTCTCCGCGAGGCCGTAGGACGGCGAGACGGACGTGGCGCGCAGGCCGTGGGAGCAGAACGCCTCCACGAACTCGTCGACGCACGACTTGTAGATGGGCTCGTTGATGAGTATCAGGTTGCGCAGGCTGCCGAGCTGAAGCGACCGCCGCTGCTCGCGGCGATGTCCGCGGCCGCGCCGGAGCACCAGCGGCAGCGCGAACGACGGCACGGGCGTGCACGTGGCCCTGAACTCAGAGACGAGCTCGAGCCAGAGGCGCGGGCGCCGGAGGAAGGCGCCCGGGGCGGCCAGCACGCAGGTGGCGCCGGCGACGACGGTGAGCAGCAGGAACATGAGGCCGCAGTCGTGGTACTGCGGCAGCCACGACACGATGACGCTGCCCGGGTGCAGGTCGTAGGCCTTCCTCGCGGCCCGCACGTTGTGGGCCGCCGAGCCCGCGGTGACCACCACGGGCCTCGGGACGCCCGTCGCTCCGGACGTGTACTGGATCAGGTACACGTCGTCCGACCCACAGCCCACGTACGGCGCCTCCGGCCCATCACAGCCGCGCTCCCGCTCCAGCTCGTCGACGGCCAGCCAGCGCAGGCTCCCCAACATGGCAGCCAGCCGGGCCCGGGCGTTGTCTCCCCCGGCCGCGGCGACGGAAGAAGCAACCGTCTTGGCGACGGAGTCGATGTACCCTGCGTCGGCGACGGCGGCCGTCGGCCTGACCTGCGACACGGCGCGCAGGAGGTGCGCGTGTGCGGGGCCGTCGAACCTGGCCGGGTCGGGGGGCACGACGGGCACCGCCGTGAGCCCCGCGCGCTGGCACGCGAAGAGGAGCTTGACGAGGCGGAGGCCCGGCGAGGCGAGCACAAGGACGGCGTCGCCCCGGCGGAGACTGGCGACAGTGCCGAGGAGGTTGCGCGCCATGCGCCCGGCGGCGGCGTCGAGCTGGGCGTAGGTCAGCGCGGTGCGTGTCGACGCCGCGTCGTCGTCGGCCCAGATGAAGGCCGGCTTGGCGGCGAACGCCGGCAGCTTGGCCCACACGGGGAGGTAGCGGTCAACCACCGGCTGGTCCGGGTAGCACGCGTCGTAGATAGAGCGGGCATCTCGTCGTATATTCGCGGCATCGCGCTCGGCTCATATAGCTACCACGGCACGGCAAGGCCTGGAGCAGCTGGAGCCAGCCGCCGTCCATGGCCACCTGACGACGACGACGACGACGTAGGCTCGTGGATATTCTCATCCGCCGCAAAGTCTTTCACACGTTCTCTTATATCTTACCAATAGCATGAAGCATGATTCACGGAAGCAAAATCAGTCCATGACCGGACAAACTGTAAATGGTTGTTCCTTATGTCAAATATTACAACTTTGCAGCGGGATGAACTAGTGAACTAGAACCTCCATGACCAAGGTCTGGAGTAACACCTAGTTCAACTTTAGTCAAACATGTCACTTTGAAATCAAGATACACATTCAAACTATGGCAACGCCCTCTCTAGATCGAGATTAAATGACCAATTTAGCCCTAGCCCTAAATACCAAAGTTGTTCCTAATGATATCCTAAGCATGTTTAAACAATTTGCCTTAAGGTCAATTAAGCATTTCATGTAGTAGTCACACATATAGCCATTCAAGTCAACACATGAAATAACACTTAAATGCTTGATCAAGAAATGTGGTCTTCATGAAATGTCAAGGTTCCTTTTGTTAACCTAAGTGTAGCTAAGATGTGTATATAGTGACCGACATGACACACTAGCATTTGTTTGCACATGATCATATGCATATGTTACAAGGAACATGAAATAACAAGCAATGATTTTTTCATATGTTTCGAATCTATATGGAGATGTTTCAATTGTAAATGATGATTTATGAATGCTATTTGATGCTCATGCTCATGTTATGCAAGTCAAGTTATGCAAGAAACTAACATCCATATGGGTTCCACAGGGCATTGGAATTCCCCAAAACTATAAATCCTTGAGGTGTTACAGCCATGCCTAGAACCCCTTATAAAAATCTCGTCCGAGATTTATTCTAAAAGACCTACCATTCTTGGAAAAAGGCGGGATAAACTTCTTGTAAGATGATAATCTTAGGAAAAATCTTTCCCATGTAGCATCTTGTTCACTATGATTGTTCCACACTACCTTATAGAACTTAATGATCTTACTCCTTGTTACTCTCTTCATCACTTCTAATACTCTAAATTGGCTATTTTTCTTCATAGGTTAGATCCGATTGAACGTCGCTTTTATTTCTTTCTAGATTCCTTTGAAGTCGCACGTTGGTGGGTGCAATAGCTTCTTCCATTTGAATCAAGACATTTCTTTCTTGCATGGCTTCAAATCACTTTGAGAAACATGGAACACATCAAAGATTGCACTCATCTCTGGTGGTAGTTGTAGCTTCATGAGATGACGCTTGTTCTATAACATTTCCTTTTCGTTCCAAAATTTTGTATGGCTCAAGTTCCTATATATCTTGTCTTTATAAAGCTTCTTTTTCATCCCAAATCTTTTCACGCCTTTCATGGGTGATATATCTCTCAAGTACACATAGTCACCTTAGGACAAGAAAAGTTAGTGGTCTTCTTCTAATATTTGAGTTAAATACTTTCATATCCACACACATAACTAAGTTTCTTCCACAATCTTGATTAGACTCGATTGCCTTCATGTGTTGTTGGATGATACATATTTGTAAGGTGGAGTAACTTCATTGACAAAATCAATACCAAAATATCTCCTTTCATTCTGGCGTCCAATTATAGAGTACTAGGGCTCAATCCAATTCAATGGAGTTCCGAGAACTTGGCCATATGGCACTTTAAATTGTGCCATACAAGGCTTCAAATGGAGCCATTTTTTGATCTTTCCTTAATTGGATAAATATAGCCATAACTTGAGAATAATTATCTCATGAATGTTATAAATGAATCATAACCATGATAAAAGGACCATAGATATCTGTGTTGTTATAGGAGAATTCAGCTTAAAGGTAACCATTTCTCCCATGAACCTTTTGAAGATATAACACAATTTCCCTAAGTAAATCTTCTAGGATTTGGTTCACTCATAGACAAGGAGGCATTCTCATTCGATGCTTACTGGCATTCATATTCTCGTAAAGCGATAAGTTTGAGGATGATAACACTTATGATTAAACATTGAACATTTACCATGATTAGCTTGGTTCCCAAAGCTACAAGTGGTGTAAGTGCTATCATATTAAACGAAGCCTGAGCGGGTCTGTGGTCCTCTATCGTCTGAGATTATAGTCCTGGGTACTCCATGCAATTTGATAATTAAAGCGGAAGCAAATAAGTTTGAAAATAAGGCAACGTAGTATGATTCAGCGGATTTCCCCAACTATATAAGGAAGCCCTGCGTGTTCACGGGTATGAAGTGTGCTGATGACTTGGTGAGACGATCAACAATGACCCAGATTGAATCGTGACCTTGGGGTGTTGTTGGAAGGCAATTAACCTTTGTACACTTGTGAATAAAGTCCATCCATTTCTGATCTCTTCCCATTTCCATCTGGTATAATAGGCAATGGTGAAGTAATTCCAATCCGAACCACCATGTTTTTAATATATGCTACTGATGGGACTAGCCAGTTTTTCACTATCCGGAGATGCATAGTTATCACACCTTCCAACATAGGATCTGCGATATCTATTTCTTCATCTTAGTCCACCAAAACGGGTTTTCAAATCTTGATACATCACGAGTTGAATTACTACTACCCGGTGGATAGATAATTTGGAGGAGTGAGCTTCTTCTAAAATTTGATTCCTTAGCTCACGGTCCTATTTCGGCACCACTAGTCGGTCCTCAAACCATAATACACCTTTTTCGTCCAATCTAAAATGTTTGGTCTCTTGCTCTTGCATTTTTCTCTTGATGTGACTTATTCTACATCCGTGCTCTGTAGCTCGGATCCTCCTTCGGGTTGATTCCTGCCTTCTTGAACGAACTTCCTCCGATTGTGATATTGTGTAGAATGCAGGATGTAACAAGTTGAATCCATCTTCCAATAGCGCTTCCACCACTCATTGTGTTGCAATGGGACTTTCGCTTATCAAACTACAACTTTGTTATTGCATCAGTCTACATCAGTTTACATTAGCTTTACTCTAGGATGGTCCGAAAATGCACTTCCAAATTATAGTCCTTAATCAATTCAAACCATACCAACGTTGTCTCATGTTCAAAGCCAAACTATTTATTAAATTGCCTTTATTATTTTATTTAGATATCTAGGTTAAAGATATACTTGAGGCTCTTGTGGTCTATCAAGGACTACTATAAGAATTATAGATATGACATACATTGCCCAACAAGTAATGTCTCCATATCTTTAGTGCATGGACAATTTTCTTAGCATCCATATGGTACTAGTAAGTTCCAAATCATGTGTAGGGTAGTTGACTTGGTTCTAAAATTTTATCCAAGCTCATGTTTTCTAAGAATAGCCTACCACAAAAAATTTCGAGAGGCTCTAGATATGCAATTTACTCTCCCTTCTTGCATGAAGTAAGAACATACATCCCAAACCCAAACCTCAACATTTTGGATGCATCACAGATACAAAAATACATCAAAAGGCTTTTCAATGTCACGGTTGTGCTAGCAGTGCGGTGAGTCAACAAAGTTCGAGAGTGTGAAAAAAATGTTTCACATTCTCGTGTCCACTTGTATTTCTCATCTTTTACAAGTAGTCCGGTCATAGGCTTAGCTATTTTGAGAAATCTGGAATAAACACCGGACTATAGTATCCTCGCTAACCCTAGAAAACTCCGAACTTCATGCACGGAAGTTGGGGCTTTCCAATCCATGACCTCCTGTACTTTTGATGGGTCTCATCTGAGATTCCATCTCCTGGCGGGGTTAAGGATAAAATGTGACCTAAAAATGGTACTTTGCTCAACCAAAATTCACATTTGCTCAACTTGGCATATAGCTTATGTTCCCCCGAGTCCAAAGGATAGGACAATCCTCGTTCAATGATGCTCTTCATGGTCGGAGTAACTGCCCAACTCATTTTCTCGAATAAATTAATATGTCATCAATAAACACGACCACGAACTTGTCAAGTTTAGTGGCATGAATCTACCTAGTTCAACTTTAGTTCATCATGGTACATGAAATATGATTTGGAGCATTCGTTAGTCCAAAAGACATAACCAAATACCTTATGGTATAAGGTTCCTTTTGTTAACCTAAGTGTAGTAAGAGAGAAAGCGACTTTTGGGTATATCCTGAAATAACAAGCAATGATCTTTATCAGGATGTTTCCGATGGTAACCTGATCTCAAGTCAATTTTGGAGAATACTTTTGCCTTTGCTAGTGTGATCGAACAAGATGTCGAGATTTGCAAGTAATTCTTGGAAAAAGCGGATATTTGTTCTTGATGGTCATCAGCATTGAGTGGTCTTATAGTAATCTACACACATCCTCGGTGACTTATCCTTCTTTTCACAAATAAAGGTCTTTGGACATCCCACTTTAGTGAGGAGATGAACTAGGTTGGATAAGACCTTTGTCCAATAGATCTTGCAATTGAACCTTGAGTTACTCTCGCTAACTCATTGGGTGGCATTCTATAGGGCCTTCATGTACGGATATGGGTGCGGTTCATTGGCACTAATTCGATCTTAAATTCCACGTCCCTATCCGGTGGTAGAACACTAAAGGTAATTCCTCCGAAATACATAAGTAAACTCACAAACTTTGCCTAGATTGAATCGTGACCTGGGGTGTTGAAGGCAATCGTCCTCAGGAATATCACATATGGTGGTGGCTTGGATAGGTACTGAGCTAGATGTTGGGGTTGAACTTCGCGGGAGAGTGGAACTAGAAAAGCATTCCTCCATGGGTTCTCTCAACATGATAGGCAACGGGTGCTAGTGTCAATAAGAGCACCATGATACTTCATCCAATTCATGCCTAAGATTACACTTATCGACAATCCCCTTAGCAATATTATCAAATCAAACCATAATTGTGTACTCCCTCCCTTGTATCAAAATGAGTACATTTTTGTCAGCTCTATGATTATCTTTTGGTAGTGCGGACATTCCCCTTGAATGAACTTATGTTAAAACCCCTTTACTTACTTCTATTATTTCTTGATCATGTCTAGATGCAAATGCTTGACTCATAAATGAATGAGAAGCTCGAATCAAATAAAACAACAACAAGTAATGTCTCCATATCTTTAGGGTGCTTGTTGACAAGAAACATACCAGCAGTACTCTCCGTGACAACTTCTCGT